ACATACATACATGCATACACACATACATACACACACACACACACACACACACACACACCACCACACATACACACACACATACACACACATACATTACACACACACATACATTACACACACACATTACACACACACATACATTACACACACACATTACACACACATACCTTACACACACACATTACACTCACATGCATGACACACACATGCATGACACACACATGCATGACACACACATGCATGACACACACATGCATGACACACATGCATGACACACACATGCATGACACACACATGCATGGCACACACATGCATGGCACACACATGCATGGCACACACATGCATGGCACACACATGCATGACACACACATGCATGGCACACACATGCATGACACACACATGCATGGCACACACATGCATGACACACACACATGGCACACACACACACACATGGCACACACACACACACATGGCACACACACACAAGCACACACACCACCACACATGGCACCACACACCACACACACATGGCACACACACACACACATGGCACACATACACACACACATGGCACACATACACACACCACATGGCACACACACACACATGGCACACAACACACACATGGCACACACACACACACACACACACACACACACCACACACACATGGCACACACACGGCACACACACACACACACATGGCACACACACACACACACATGGCACACACCACATGGCACACACACACACACACATGGCACACACACACATGGCACACACACATGGCACACACACACACACACATGGCACACACACACATGGCACACACACATGGCACACACACACACACACATGGCCACACACATGGCACACAACACACACACATGGCACACCACACACACACACACACACACACACACACACACACACACACACACACACACACACACACACAACACACACATGGCACACACACACACACACACATGGCACACACACACACACACACATGGCACACACACACACACACACATGGCACACACACACACACACATGCACACACACACATGGCACACACACATGGCACACACACACACACATGCAAGGCACACACATGCATGACACACACACACATGGCACACACACACACACATGGCACACACACACACACATGGCACACACACACACATGGCACACACACACACATGGCACACACACACACACATACACACACACACACACATACACACACCACACACACCACACACAGCTCCATTTCCCTGGAACAGATGTTGGGAGACAGCTCTCGCTACACCCATCTAACACAATCCTATCTGATGTCATGTTCTGATCTGCCCCCTATGTAATGTCCCTCTTTCAGTTCCACACATTCTGTTGTCCTGCCCGTGCTTTGCTGCAGCCTGGACCTCTGCTTTCTCCCACCTCTCCTTCCTTCACTGACCTCCCAACCTATCAGACATCCTTACAGAATCCCACATTTTCTGCTTTGACAGCCTGTTCTCCTTCCTCAGACACAAACATATCTTTCACTTGATCTAATCCCCTTACTTAACTCCACCGTAACCCATACACTTATCAACTCCTTTCCCCACTTTTACCCACTGGCTGCGGATGGCATCATATGATGCACCGTGCAATTGACAGCCGATCCCTTTGAGCAGTGGGCGGCCGTGCGGCATGGGAGCTAAGTGGGCCAGGGAATATCAGCTGCCAAGCTGGCATTCCCCTTGTGGCCTTACAGGGCCCAGGCCCACCACCTCAGGCCCGCGTGTGCGATGGGCTGTTTACCGCCAAATGAGTTGTTTGCCTATTGCTCATGGTAAAACCAGGCCCGCCACTCTTTCTGAGCGCATTTACATATGTTTGCATGTTTGCATGTATTTGCAAGGGTTTTTGCAAATTTTTGCAGATTTTTGCATATTTATTTTTTTTCAGATATAAATAAACAAACACATTTGCGTGAAAGAGGGAAGGCAGCACTGCTACGCGTGCACACTCCAGTGCGGTCCCATGCGCCCCCCACATCAAAAATAGATAAAACTAGGGGACTACGTGCCATATTGCATAATACCGTGACCAATGGGTTAACCTTTTCAATACTATTCTAGATAGTTGATGCATAGCAACTAATTGCTAATTCAACTACCCTTCACTACCCTTTACTGTACATTCTGATAGTGCTACATGACCTTAGACGTCTAGCACATTTATTTTGCTTTTAACCATTAACCATTAATATATACCATTAACCATTCATATATACCTACTGAATCTAATCATCCTCCAAGATCTTCTTGCATTCTTGTTGCTCTGGCCCTCAGTTGAATCTATTGGGACAACACATTCCAGTCACCCATTCTCTCAGCCAATCTTTTCTGTGATAGCATATTCCTGCAACCTGGCCCTCAGCCAATTTTTTTTTTTTTCATGACATGGATATATCCCTCAGATTCAATAGGTTAAGTACGAAGTACAAAGTAGGTGGGTGGTGGGTAGTGGGTTGGCAGTGGTTTAGTTTGATGGATTAGGTTAACTGAGAGAACTTAGTTTTCCCTGCACACACTCAGGGCAAGAGACTTGGAACAATGTGTTGATAGGCATTATTGTTTAACATATGACTGACCTGTATTTCAAGTGCTTGCTCTGTGCCTCCTCTGAGTGATGTCAAAACTATGCATATCATATGATCATTTATTGAGAATACCCTTATTTACGGTTCCAGTGACGTGAAATTGCACAACTTGCATAGTGGGGTAGTTCAAGGACAAAATAAGGAGGCAAGTACTCTCTCATGGAAGGATTGCCCTTCACAGCAACATGGAACTCTTCATTCGATTGTCTTGTAGTTGGAGTGAGAGCAACTATTACTCTGCAACCAATTTGTGTTGGGTACATGTGCTGTCCACTGTTATTTTTTGTGAATTTTTGAACGCATAGATGGCTCCACAAGTGGTCAGTCACCAAGGACTCAATTTGTAGACCTCTTGTGACCATAGATTTTTTGTTGTTTGAAATTTCAGGATTTTTTTTCTGATGCTATTAATATCAATAGTGTTGATATTATTATTAACATTATGATTATTGTAATGGTATTGAAATACTAGAATACTAGAGATAGGATGGACTAGTAATTGAGTCCTTTGTGCTTAAGCTCTTCAAGCCTTCTATGTGTACACAGTTATGTACATATTATTCTGGTTCACTGGGTTAATAGCCTTTTTGAGAATTAACTTGTGTAGTCTGTGTACCCTCCCAACTGAAAGAGGGTAGTTCCCTTCCCCTCTTTTCCTTGAATAACTGTAGTGTATGAAGATTAACACCAGGGTGCCACACTACTTCACATCTTTAAAAGCCCCAAGTGAAATATTCTTACAACTTTTCATGCAATATGCATAATTTTGACATCAATTTAGGTCTTGAGAAAGGTGTACACAGAAGGCACTCAAAAGAAATACAGTTCACTCTCATGTCAATGAGTCATGCATATTAACACTGCTGTGAGGTGTATGTGAGATGGGCTTGGTTGCTAAGTAGTCAATTTCTCTATTTTTTTCAGCTTTGTATCACATAAGGTGTCTTTTAATACAAAGTTTACAACTTCAGTCAGAATTACAGGATATACATATGAAGGGTGAATGAGCTCTAGCTTTGTTTCTGGACAAACTGCTCAGTTGCAGACTTGACAGAAATTATTATAGTATTATTTTTTTCATTATATTTGTATATTTGTAGGCATACAGATACATACTCATGATTTTTTTTTTTTTTGTGTGTGTGTGTGTGTGTGTGTGTGTGTGTGTGTGTGTGTGGTGTGTGTGTGTGGGTGTGTGTGTGGTGTGTGTGTGTGTGTGTGGTGTGTGTGTTGTGTATGTGTATGTGTATGTGTGTGTGTGTGTTGTGTGTGGTGTGTGTGTTGTGTGTGTGTGTGTGTGTGTGTGTGTGTGGTGTGTGTGTGTGTGAGAGAGAGAGAGAGAGAGAGAGAGAGAGAGAGAGAGGAGAGAGAAGAGAGAGAGAGAGAGAGAGAGAGAGAGAGAGAGAGAGAGAGAGAGATTTTTAACTGTCCATAAAATAGATTTTCATTAGACCCTAAATTCATGTTACTTATTCTCTACAGGTTTTTATGAATGAGTTGGTACGCATCGACAGTTTCCCTCTTTTTGCCAGGCTCATTCGGTAGTTTGCTAGCAACATTAGGCACCTAAAACCTTGTATTTTGATACAGTTTTTAAGAATATAAATTTTTTGAAGGTTTACCTTCACTTTAAGTGCTATTGCCTAAAAGTTTTACTGTAGAAATGATGCTGTTACAAATGGAGAAAAACAAGCTCCGTATGATAAGCTGATGATACGGGAAGAGTCATGTTTGGTGCCATCTGCTACTTTGTCCTCAACAGTCATGGCATATGCCTATATGCCATCCGATGGGGAGGGGTTAAAGGCATTACTGTTTCAACGTACTAAGTGTCAAGCTATTTATTATTCTTTGTTATGAGGGCAGTGATGGGTATCGATACACAGAATTGTTTATAAGCTTATGCTAATATATTGATGGCTGAAAATTGTCTAAATCCTATAAGTTAATGTTATAGCAATGCTAGTATCCATGTATGTATGGTGATAATGTATCAGTGATACATGTAATGCCGGAAAATATCTTCAATATTTTAATTAATCAATTTGATTTGGATGTTTGATGCACAGCAAACAATGCAGCAGAAAAGTTTATTTCAAACCTTACAAGTCTTATCACATTTTGCTTGTTTGATGTGATATAGATTACACATTAGTGAGAAAGAAAGAGAGATAAAGAGATTTTTTACCTGAGCTGAACCTAGAAACTCTGTTAGGAATTTATATACTTTAAAGATTGTAAGGGAAACAAAAATCATAGTACTGGGAATTTTACATTATATTCTTCCTATAATATTGCTTTTTTTTTCTTCACTTTCACTTAAAATTAATTAATTGTCTTTACAGGAAGGGGATCACACTACAAACAGTGTTTTAAAAGCCATAGAAAAGTGTGGAGGTGTGTCAGACACACCAGTCACTATCACCACCAGGATTCATCGTATTATTTTGCACAAGTGAGAATTAATAGAATGGAGAATTTTTTTTCATACTCTGATTTTTGTTTTAAAAGTTAAGAATGCATTAATCCTCACTGAAGACAATGTAATGTCGTGGACTTCATCTTTAATAAACTTGCAACTTTTTTGCAATTAAATGATTATTATAAATTTCAAGTCTTAGAGCCATCCTTGTAATTTATGTCATATGAATATATTTATTTTTATATCAGATATGTTGCCATTATTTAGAAAAATTAACATCTACAACTGCATTGATACAGGAATAATGAAGGCATTTTAGATTATTGGGAGTGTGTTGGTCAAGATGCCAGTGGAATGTTCTGTTCCATCAGAATACCAAACCATCCCCTTGTTAGCCAGTTTAAGGAGTTAATAGAAATGGGAGAAGGAGCCACCTTCACCTTCAGCCATGTCACAGTACTACAGAGGCTTACCAACACTCAGTAAGTAAAGTACAACATGGAAAAAGTCAAGCTCAAAACAGGTTATATTTTTGGAAGACCATAAAAATAGACAGCAATCTGATTGCAGTTAGAGAATGATGTAGATGCAAGTGTAAATAAAACATTTAATATATATTAAAGATAGATACAAAATGAATTGATTATAGTTTGTAATAAAGAGTTGTAGATTAAAATTTAAATATTCATCAACTATGTTCTTACATTATTATTGCAGTTATTATTAGTATTTCTGATTTTTATAATCATCATTACATTACCTTTCTTCTTCTTCTTCTTCCTCCTCCTCCTCCTCCTCCTCCTCCTCCTCCTCCTCCCTCCTCCCTCCTCCCTCCTCCTCTCCTCCTCCTCCTCCTCCTCCTCCTCCTCCTCCTCCTTCTTCTTCTTCTCCTTCATCTTCTTCTTTCTTTCTTCCTCCTTCCTTCCTTCTTCCTTCTTTTTCTTCTTCCTCCTTCCTCTTCTTTCTTTTTCTTCTTCCTCCTTCCTCTTCTTCCTTCTTTCTCCTTGTTTCTTCCTCCTTCCTTCATCTTCCTTCTTTTTTTCTTCCTACTTCTTCCTCTTTCCTCTTCTTCCTTCTTCTTTCTCCTTCCTTGTTTCTTCCTCCTTCCTTCATCTTCTTTTTTCTTCCTCCTTCCTTCATCTTCTTTTTTCTTCCTTCTCCCTTCCTTCTTCCTATTACTTCCTTTTTCCTCCTTCCTTCTTCCTCCTTCATCCTTCTTCCCTCTTGCTCCTTCCTTCTTCCTTCTTTCTTTTTCTTCCTTTCTTCTCCCTCCTTTTTCCTTTTTCCTTTTTCTTCCTTTTCCCTCCCTTTTCCTTTGTCTTCCTTCCTCCTTCGTCCATCTTCTTCCTTCCTCTTCCTTCTTTCTTCCTTTTTCTTCTTCCTTCTTCGTCTTTTTATTGTTATTATTATTATTATTATTGTTATTATCAATATTGTTAAGATTCCCATCATCATTTTTATTTAGTATGATGCTTTTATCTGATTATTTCTTGTGATTTCAGAAATTCTAGTTTGTTTTCGGTTTTGTCATCACTACATTCTGCCTACCAGTCAGCTATTCAAGCCTGTTCAAACCTGTTTTCATTGTTGAAAGAGCATGCCTTAAGACCACCCCAAACATACTGCTATGTATTTGCTGTGAATCTCAGGGTCTCCAAAGCCATAAACAATGAATATCAGGTTGCACTGCCCATCAAGTTACCAGACTGGACCTTGATAGAAGCTATGCAGGTAATATATTTTATCTGAAAATCATGTTCTAAGGATTCAGACTGGAATCTGGAATCTGGTAGCCATATACCTTGTAAATCAGGTCATGTGCGCTGGTCTCTTTTGTTATTCACCAGTGATATCTTTATATGCTGGTAGTGGAGACCTGCTTCTAGAGTTACACTGACTACATGAACATCACAACACCCTATATTACCCAGAATCTAAAGATTATAAGACAAAGTAATACCCTTGAGTGGTTGTACAGTCTTTTGATGAAAGAATGATGGGGCTTGTGGCTAATCTCAAAGTAAAGCTGGCTCTTGCATATGTGTTCTGCATTGTCAGAAGTTATGTCCATCTTTAAGATGTGGTTTTCACCAGATGTTGAAGATGGATGATTCAGCAACATTCTCCTTTATTACTGACGTATTTCTAAAAGGAGTGGGTGAGTTTTTGCTCCATGACCCACTGATATCAAATTAGGAGTTTATGAAAGTAATAAGACTAGAATTACTGCATTAATTTAGATAAAAAAAGAAAAGTACCACTCTCTTTTCACAAGTTTTTTTGATGCTGTAGAATGTGACAGAAAACATTTAACTTTATTCATAATGCCATTAGTGACTCAGATATAACAATTTGACATTGACTGCAGAATACCAATTTAAGCAGAGTAGAAACTTGTGGTAACTCTTGAAGCAAGAGTTATT